TGAATGTTTCTTTAGGACAAGAATTTAGACAAACATGGATCAAAAAATGAAAAATTGATAGAAAAGCAAAATTTTGTCCTCGGTGGGATCCGAACCACTCGACCTATTTTTTCACGTTATTTTTATTCGTAGAAAGCGCCGACAGCGAAAATGAACCTCAGGTTCTGGTCCCCGTATGTGCCCCTACAATATGCACAAGACCATTTGTGAAAAAGCTCACCACGCCTGAACGACCTCCCTTGTGAGAGCCCTACCCCGCCCAGTATACAGGATGGACAGACAGACACGACAGACAGACTGACAGACAAGACAGACAGACGTCGCCGTTTATACACAGGGTGGGCCAAAAAAAGCCACTTTTCTCATTGATTCGAGGCGCTATAAGTTACACTTTCTTAAATTCTGATGGACATTTTTACGCCACAGCCTTCTGAACGAGCGCCATCGAGAGATTCTGGCTTGCGACCGCGATGTGGTGCCTGAGATCAGCGAGATAGTCGAGTTCTACGCAACCGTAGACACCCTATTGAGCTCGCCCGAACCGGGTAATCGAGGGAATTCAGGTCAGGTGACCTACTTGGATATTCCCTCTTCTTCAAGATACTCAACGCTCTTCCATTCCAAGTAGGCGAGTGTTTCTCCAACGCCCTTTGATTTCATGTCGTGGCACTCAATGCTGTAGCAGTACAAAGTTTCCAGGAAGGTATGGGCGACCACATGTGCGGAGGATGTTCTTCACGAGTTTTCCCATGTAACCGCCAGCGCTCACCTTCAGTCCGGGTGTCCACGAAAAAAATATTGGTCTTTCCATTCCAGGTACGTCCTGTCCACACCATCAACCCACGCCTTGGCGACTGCGGGAAGATGATGTCCTAGACCGTGGCGACGTTGTCGGAGCTGCTCGATGTTGGAGGTCATCCAGATCGAGAGTACTGGTCTCCAGGTAGCTATCCATGAGTGACTCCATACCAGAAGTTTCGCAGCTGTTTGTAGGTGACATGAATTCCAAAGGTCTTCTCCAGTCAGGCTGCGACTGGGAGTGACTTCATATTTGGTGTACATGAAGGTGATGGGCGAGAGCCAGCTCCTGCTTGTAGAGGAACATCTTGGGTATCTTCCGCCCTGGTACTCGATTCCACGTCCTCTGTCTGGGCAGCGAAAAACTTTGCTGATATGTGACTCGGTCGAAGTGACTTTTTTTGGAATCCCCCCTGTATAGTAGGATGCCGCATTTCCGTCATAGGAGATGATCGTCATTGGTCACCTTCGGGTCCGGAATTTGGACCTCCGCACCGCGGCACATTTCGCAGCGCTTGAGAACACGCGCCGCGAAAAATTGGTTAGAGAAATAAAAACAAACACGCAGAATGTGCGCCCTGCGCATGTGGTTGGTAACTCCAGAAAGCAGGGTAAACAGTGCGATTTCAGAACAAACTTGATAATAAATACAAATTGAAATAAATATAAATGTATATGACTTTATGCAAATCACTGTGACACAATGGAGAAAGAGACGTACTGGTTCCGTTACGTTCCCATGTACGAAAAATTCTACGAAGAAAACGCTTAGCATCTCTTTTCCAAATGCCTCGACTTCGTCTAACTTGAGATCTAAAATCAATTTATTCGATCATAGAATTTAGTACAACAATTCGGAGAAATACGCTTTCCTTCGCATACGGTGAGCAGCTGCTTGCTGGTCCGGCACCGATCTTTTAGTAGTTGCAAAATATAGATTTTGACAGCGAAATAGTTCCGAGAGCGCAACATTCTCAAGGTAACGCTTTGCCTCGTCAACTAAGACGTTAAAACGGAGAGCATCTGTAAGCGAGGATCTGGAATTCCATCAAATTACAGTTTTCATCATTGCGGACCGGTGAGGCGTGTCAGCTAGTATGAGTGTGCACACTGTTGAAGCCGTTCTCAGCCTTTTTGTTGAAAGCGTATGCGACAAAAAGTGGTAGAAAAAGAGTAGTACGAAGGATATAATACAGTAATGTCACTTGCCCGCTTGACAACTGGTGCAGGGCGACTTTGGCACGCGCCAAACGCAGCCGCACTGACACGCCCCACCGATCCGCAATGACGAGGACTGTACTAGATCATATTGGCATATCATTTGCACATTTCGAAGCATTTCCGTGCGATTAGCAAGTAATAATCAAAAAGGTCTAGTCAAATAAGGGGTCCTGGAGTGACTTACCCGGTTTGAAGCCTATCATTCGCTTGATAACATGCTCAACAAGTTGTGGTTGTTTTTCGTCGTAACCCCACACCTGAATTGTAATATGAATCTATTACAATCACTGTTCGTAAAAAAGAGCACCAGACTGGGAGGGAGGAGAAATGGAGGGGAATTAGGGTAGCTTCATCCGTAGATTGTTGCTGGCTCAGGATGGCACCTTTGGTGGGAGGGGACCACTCCCCCCCCCAACCCTCAATCCATGCTTTCTCGTTTGCTCGAATAACAACTCCTGGCTGAGCTCCAGTGCTCGTCTCCTCGTTTGCAGGGATAATGACCGTAAGCTATGGCAACGTGGATGTGTGCTCTTGACTTCGTGAACTCTGCTACATTCTCATGTTTTCTGGCAATTGTCAGTATAGTAATTCAAGAGCACTGATTGCTGGGAGCAGCACCAGTCCCCCTGAGGCTGCGTTCAGACTTGTCGCGCTTGAACGCGCGTTGATTGTTGCGCGTGAATGAACGCGTATTGCTTGTCGATCTCGAACGCCCATCAACTCGCTTGAACACGCTACAATTACAAGTGCTCCAATTGACGAGACCCCAGCCTCCCTTTATGTTCTTCCGGTGTTCAATTCTTTTTTTCACTGTTTCTCATTTCTACCTGGTTCTCAGCTTTTGTTTAACATTGAATTTTGATATGTACTTCACAAAGGACACTGTGGTAATGATTTTGCAACCCTTTCAATAAACGCTTAGTCAAGGACGTCAAATTCACAATTTCAATACGTCGTCAAAAACGTCAAAAAGCACATTAGAATTCAATATCAAAGTGAAAAGGGGAGCTAAGAATCGGGTAAAAGTGTGAAGCAGTGAAAAAGGGTTGCCCACCGGAAGGAAGAACATAAGGGGATGCTGGAGTCTGGTACGATTGGAGCGCTCTTGTGACTGTAGCGTGTCCATTTACAAGCGACAGCGACAATTGGGGCACGACATTCGCGTGCAAGCGCGATAAATCTGAACGCTGCGTGACTTGACAAGCGTCAGCATAAGCAGGGATCATGCTGTACAAAGTTGGTAGCACAATGTCGTTATATTTGCCAAGATATGTTTCTGTAAACAGGCGTATAGAATCAATCGTATCCACCATTGTAATCGTCCTGGCACTGGAATCTGAGGCTAACACGCAGAGACATTGTGGACCCGATCGCTCGATAATGCCGATTGTCGCAGACAAAGCAAAACTCGATTTCACGTGGACTCAATCGGCGAGGCTTTCCTTGCTCATTATGAGCTGAGGAAGGGATCATCTAAACCATGCTTCCCTTTCAAAGACACATGGACACATAGTTTGGGTGTGCGTGACTATCAGCCCCCCAGCTGTCAAAGAGTAGCGGTTTCTCTGGCCTAACATGCGCAGCAATGCAGATACAGGACCGTGGAACATGGTAATTCCCCCATACTGGAATATACTCCGCAAAATACCTTTCTGCCCATTCATGGTAACATCCGTCGTGTGCAGCGTACGCGTGCAGCTAGCTCTCTTGGCTCTTGCCAAATCCTGTAATTGGGCTTTGGAATAAATGTAAAACGCACTTTCCCGATGCGGATAACAGGTGCTGCAAAACAAGAGCCGAAGATGATGACGAGGGCCACAACTTCAACTGTGCTGCTCCTGCAATATCCCTCGGAGGCCGCACATCTCCACGAAACATGAAAATAAAAACGGCCTAAGCGTCCCTTTCGTTAGTTTGAAGTATTTCTATGGCTTCGGAACCGGATTCGCGCCGTATCGCAGAAATTTATATGCGATTTCAATTGATTTGCGTTCCCTTAATTTTTCATTTTTGTTTCATTCACATCTACATCCGCTGTTTCATTTCTAGCCTTTGATCTTCATCACTCTCTCGGGCTTGAACCATGAGCAACACCTCAAATGTTATTCGCATCAGGGAATTGCGTCTTGCTTGTATCAATCTAACCAGTGGAACGCTTGGGCCGTCTTTATTGCCATGTTTTGTGGGAATGTGCGGCCTCTGAGTAATGTTGCCAAAACAACACAGTTGTCTTGAGTGCTCGCTCCCGTCATCATCTTCGGTTCTTATTTTGCAGCACCCAAAATGGTATCCGCATCAAATTGCGTTTGACTTGTATTTCGAAGCGCAATTACAGGACTTGGAAGAGAGCCAAGAAAGCTGCACGCGTGCACACGACGGATGTTACCATGAACGGGAGGTTTCACGGTTCTGTATCTGCATTGCTGCGCATTTTAAGCCGGGGAAACAGCTACGCTTTGACAGCTGGGGGGGGGGGTGCTGATAGTCACGGACACCCAAACTATGTGTGATCGTGCCATGTGCCTTTGAGTGACTATTCGCTCCGGCTCTCCTCTATGGGGCAGCATTGTTTGAAGAGCGGCCGTGAATCTATCCACAAGTTCCACAATCTATCTACACTTCCGTATCCCTCACTCGAGTTGAAATAGACATGTTGACCCAAAATTGACTTCAGGTTGTGACTTTCGGCTTTTAAGCATTAGTGGGCTGTCCGGTAACGTAGGCGTACTCCTCATGCAGCTCCTTCATTTTAGTCTCGGCTGGGGCTTTTTCCCGTCACACTGCCTCATGCTTGAGTCAAAGTGGTAGAAGAACAATAATCAAGGGCGCAGATACCGACGATCCGGAATGAGATTATTGTCCCTATTGCAAAACAATGGAAAACAAGTGACTGGTTTTTGTAGTACAGGAGAATTAACAACTTAATTGTTCACAGTATCGGTCACGCCTTTTCAGACTAAGGACAAGTGTTTCACAAAATATTACACGCTCTTCCTGTCAACGCAATAACTACTACTCACTTCCAGCAGCAGCCCGAAATCTTCCTCTTTTATGTTGCAGTTGAGACCAGCCAGCGCCGCATTCGTAACATCGCCCGTCAAAGCGTCCTGTGAGGTCAAATCATATTAGGAATAGAAAAAAGACAGAGGAACTCACTTGCAAACATAGTGAGAACATATTCAAAAGCACTTCAGATTCTGGGGACTTCATCACCATTGGAGAGATGAGCGCGACCTGCAACGGAACGCATTATTTATTATTTAGATTCAGATGATGACGAAGTCTCACCCTAGTCACGGCTATGGGGAGTTGATACTCGTCGTCTTGCTTGAACCAAATTCGACACCATGCATCATCTCGTATGACGCGAGGATGTTCCCTATCATTAGCATTTTTCTTCAACAATGCTAATTACTCTTCAATGGCTCATTCCATGCAGTTAGTTGAAAACAAGCTCCTGCTAGAATCGCTTCCTACTCAGTAGTGCGCCACTTAATTTAAGAAAATAAAAGCACGGACGCACTAGAAGAAAGCCACAATGGTACATTCGATTCCGCTGCATTCTCCTAAGCTTCATTCTTCTAAGCTTCATTCTTCTTAGCTTTTGATTATCTTCTTAGCTGGTATATGAGCCAATGACATGCCGGCTCATTCAACTGATCTCAGATCGCCAACCCGTTTGCCACCAATTGCTATCACTTGTTGTGGGAAGCGGGTTTGCGCTGCACCAAGCAACCAGCGACCCTGACGCGCCCCCGTCTGCACCGTGAAGACTGCAGCTTCAGGAAACAGAATAAAGACCGTGACAGATACTAACCGTTCAGTTGTTTCTCGTGGTTTGAGGTCGAATTTTGTAGCAATGTAGTCGTTCTTCAGCGGTAGATGCAGAGAAGGATTCACCGTTTCCAGAGCGGTTTCAAACTGCTCCATTGTTTCCTACAATACTATTGTTGGGTCCCAGTAGCCCTTAGTTATAACAGCAAGTCAAATTTGACATAAATATAACATAAGGAGCGACATTAGCCGTTCTCCCGCAGAAAAAAAAAGAAGCGACCCTCAAAAGTTCAGCGCAGCGATCATGAAATCCAGATTGTAGTGCTGCATTCTACGAAGAGAGGTACGCTGAAGTCAAGACCGGTCTGGTTTTTCAGCGATTATCGAATGTGTAGTATCAATGTGAAACTTCAAATTTTTATTTCAGCAAAACAACAGACAGATGACGTGGATACGAGTACCAGGGCGTAAGATACCCAAGATGTTCCTCGATGAGCAGGGGCTGGCTCTCGCCCATCACCTTCATGTACACCAAAATATGAAGTCATCTCCAATCGCAGCCTGACTGGAGAAGACCTTTGGAATTCATGTCACCTTCAAACAGCTACGAAACTTCTAGTGTGGAGCCACCCGCAGATAGCTACCATGACACCAGTGCTCTTGTTCTGAAAAGCCCGGACAGCGAGCAGCTCCGGCAACGTCGCTACGGTCCAGAACATCATCTCCACCACAGTCGCCAAGGTGCGGGCTGGTGGACCGGACGTTCCTGGACTGGAAAGACTGATATTTTCTTCGTGGACCCCGGACTGAAGGTGAGCGCTGGCGATTACATCAAGCAACTCGAGAACAATATCTTCTCCACATGTCATTGCTCGTACCTTCTTCGAAACTTTGCACTGCTACAGGATTGGGTGACACCACATGGAATTGAAAGGCGTTGGAAAAACGAATAGAAGGGCGTTGAGTTCCTGAAGAGGATGGAATATTTGAGCGGGTAACCTGACCTGAACCGCATCAAATACCTGGCTTGGGCGGAGTCCAATAGGTCAACAGTGACGGAGAACGATCACCAACGACCTCGCTGAGCTCACGCACCGAACCATGGTTGCGTGGCAGATTCTCGATGGCGGTGGTCCAGAAGGCTGTGGCTGAGTATTCAATATGCTCTTTAATACGGTAGTAAAAAGGTCCGATCAGAATCCAATAAAGTGTAACTTATAGCTCTCAAAAGTCAAGAAGGAAAAGTGTCTTTTTTTGAGGGCCCCTCCTCTATACTAGCAATGGCAATGCTCCAGTGAGTAGCACTCCCGACAGGCCCGAAATTTCATCTTGTTGTCCATTTCAGTTACAGTCTGCTCCTCCAACGATTTTGCTTGCCCTGCAGCCACGGAATAGCTAATCCACTGAGACCATACCCTTGCCCTTGAATAGTGAGATGGTCTGTGACACGATCATACGATGACTTGTGCAATGTCTCGTAGTTCGCTCCTGTTGTTATTCCGGGTAGTATCTTTTTTTCCAGGTCCTTAAGTATTTCCCCTTCCATTGTGCTCTCCACTGAGGGTGTAGTACTGTGATGATTAACGATGGGGGTTCTTGGCGATCGTGTTGCTTTGTGCGATGCCTAAAGAAACTGCTGTCTGGATAAGAGAGCGTTTCTAGAAGATTTTCTCAGTTTCTCTCTTTCACAAGGAGCTCAGTCGACGAATTTTCAAGTGCAGTAACTGCAACCCACCCTTGCACAGCTTTAATCAGTGCCCTAAAAATGAAGAACGCGGTTGAGATTTGGTGGAACGGAATATTGAGGGTATCGGAAAGGTGAGCGCTCAACAATAATTTTCACTTTTGCTACCGTGCTTCAGTTGAAATGCGGTAATACCAAGGAGTAGCAAGTATATCTTGATTGATTTCCGGTCAGCGCACCCATTCAATACCTGAAATATATAGCAACATTTTTACCCACTTTGTCGAGAATTTCAATGGATTCGTGCCGATTTGGATAGCTCAATAACTTCTCCTCTAACCGAGGCCAACCGCAGATAGCGCAACGGCGCCTCGACTTAATGACGTCGCTTCGCACCTCGTTAATTATGCCTCGAATCATAGGTGCGAGACAATTCATGAACAAGGTCAATCGCCATTGTCATTCCACCTACCCATCCCAAATTGAATAAGAAAGGTGAATGTCTAGCAATTACAATTGAATTAGCCCCTTCGCTGACCTGTGTGGGCTTCGACGGCCATCAGCTTCGAGCAGAAGGAGTGGGTCAACTGTAGCCACCCACGGTTAGTGCTCTTCTGCGGTCAGCTGTTTTGTGCTTGTGAGCTTCGAGACTTCCCTAGACGCCTTCAGTTTATGGTGAGCTGCTCTTATGTCCGAAATGGCATTCGGTGGTAGGTCACCTTATATCTGACTTTCCAGGCTCCGACGAAGACCAAGCCAAAACGTCAGCCAAATAACTGTTAACATCTTGGTTGTGGTCTGAACATCCAGTCAAGATGATGCCAAGATTCATTAATAGTCGATCATGGATGCTCGTTTCCCTTTGACCTGTTTTCCTCTTTTGAATTCTTCAGATGGAATTAGTAATCCAGAGTTGAAAGTTGTGATAGCAGTAGATTCGAGAAGTCTCCGCGGCTGTGCTTGCCTACCCTTGATCTTGCGACTCGTAAATACACTGCTCCACATAATGATAGTTCCACCCATATTTCTAACAGAATTCCGCCTTACTTTTCGAAACTGTTCCCAAAAAGAAAATGTGGTCACTATCAATGCCAATTGCATGCAAACAACAAAAACTAACTTGAAAGAATGAGTTTTTCTAGTTTATTCTCTGAAACAGGTCAGTTTGATAATCCAGGACTGTCTAAGTCAAATCGCAAGGGATTTGGGCCGCAGTCATCATATGATCAATAGTTTTGTCAAGCAACCTGCAGGATATGGGATGAAGAAGAGCTCTATTTCGCTCTCTGATCGACATAAGCGCCGCATTCCAAGGTAAGCGTCAATCTCTACGATGTCGCGCCGGGGAATAGCGCTTACTTAGAGTTTACGTTTCGAAGAAACTGTTCTGCCGTCTTTGAACAAGTTCGAGTCTTTTCGCAGGAGAGAATGAGGGGAAGGCACGGTTTCTGGTAAGAAATTCATCGTGAAAACCGAACCGGCCTTCGACAGGCAGAGTCCGCCTCGTCTTGCCGACACCTCTATTAGAAGCAGGTTAGCTTATCGACAGCGACGCCCTTGTCACTGTCTTGTTCTTTTCTGGCTATCTCTAACGTTGTGCTTCATTTTGGATGAAATTGAAGTTCTCTGATTAATTCCAGTGTTATGCGAACAAGATTCTACTTTTTCGGGACGTGCATTTTCGGGCAAACAGAACCTCGCTTTCGTGCAATAATGCACCAGTTCATGCCATTCGCAGGCCACCTCGAGCACATTCAAGCAACTTAATTCAGTCATCATCATATCGCTTTTTTGCCTTCGACCAGTGATTAACTCGACCTAAGCCCAATCGAGAATGTGTGAGGCTTCATCAGCATGCGCACACCTGTCGACCCGAACCGGTTGTTTGAACCTTTATGTCGAGCATGGAGAACAGCATTTCCACTATTAGGAGGAAATGGGGCTCCGAGCAGTTACTGAATCGAAAATTTTTTTTCATCTCACTTCTGTTTGCGTGGACCTCATCATTCTGCGAGATTGCTCAGAGGTAACCTTTTTTTTTCCAAATTTTCAAAAATGATGAGAAAAAAGAACTTATCCTCTCAAGCTGGTTTTTGATGCCTAGGCGCGCACTAGAACGTTAGTCACGCCACAACTACTACTTGCTCAGATTTGGGAAAACTCTATAGAAGGATTTCAGCAGTTTTTATGGTCGGAACTATCATTAAGTGGAGCAATGTGCTACGCTGCTATCACGAAACTCACCTCGTTTTTATCTAGGATTCGGCATTCTCATGTCCCGAATCGGGCTCGTGATATTGCCCTCCTGACCACTGTACTGCTGTGGCAACGTACGACTGATAGAACATGTTCTTCGGAGCCAAATCTTCGATGATTTCCATAAATTCTTATCTGCGATCCGTTCGTCGTTGGAAGCAAACGGTAAATGCTGACTGCTGTAGGCCGGAGTCAGACTCATAATGAGGCTTTCTTATTTGTTGCACGGCTCCTTGCAAATGATAGGCATGTGAAGGTAGCCGATGGTGTAGGAGCAGGTGATAGTGGCTCCGCCACACACAACCAGCACGTAACAGTGACCTCTCAGGATTGTTCTTCCGGTCATAGGCATGAAGAACGTGCACGATCCACCGAGGCTACGTTTCAGTTGGTGGAAATCCTGGCTACCTTTATTTGAAGGTTGTGCAGTACCAGCGTTTGCTCTCTGTCCAAAGAAGATTGCCACTGACAGAATGTCTCGGAAATGGAATATCGCTGCAAATCATGAGAATATGCCATGACCGCAGGTAGAGATCGACCTTCTCCTAAATTGAATTAGGCAAAATGAGCGGTCAAGCCTACGTTGAACCTCACTTAGACGAACACACAAAGCGCAAATTGATTTCATCTATTTTTTGAGTTCCTCATTAGATCCAAGCCGCTTGTGCGCCCACTACGTCTGAGTAGCCCAATGCGGTTGAAAAACAAGGCTGATTACTTTCCTCAACGTGGCTGAGAACATCTGAAAAAAAAAAACTGGATTGGACTGGGAATATAAAACGCTTTCAGTGTGAAGGCGTTGGACTGCTTTTGCAGAAGAAACGTAGTGTGAGCGCTTTTCACTGCACCACCCCACCGAAATTTAGAGCACCATTTGTCGAAATTTTCTTCTTAGTGGTAGACTTGAGTATGCGCCTCAGCTACTTAGCAACATTCTTTTTTGAGGTCATTTTCTGTTTCAGTCTACTCCCTCTCGTCTGCATAGGTCTCCGCTTTCGAAATCGTATTCTCCTGGCTCGCCGCATGTTTTTCTACACCCATTCGCTGCTTTTAGCATCCGAGCATCCGTAATCGCTGCATAAGGGATTTCACCTGCATCATTGCCGTGAGAGTTTGAATCCAATCAAGATATAATATCTAGTTAAGGAGTGTCGACAGTACCCTCGACACATTGGTTTTCAGCACATTCAGTGCGACTTTGGGATAACCGAATAAC